GTGCATGTTTGTGTATCTAGCGGCTTTGATGGGGTAGAACTCACATACCGTATAATCCGCAGGTCAGGGCGTTTCGTGTACTCACAGAGGCACTGTGATTCATGTTAAGATCCCCCAAAAGAAACCACATATCTGTCATCTGTCACCTTCCAGTGTCCCCTGGCCCAAGGCAACTTTTTCTTTCTTTTTTCTTTTTTGTTATAGGGCACATGTGTTTTCTGGAGAGAGACAGACAGAGAGGGAAAGCGAGAAAGCACCCTCTGTGGGGCTGGCCATGCCCCGATCCCCTCTCCTCCTTTTCCTCTTGGGATTTTGGGAACACGTGCACATACACCCAGTGTGATTTTCTTGTTTTGGGGGGAGGACGTAGATTTTTCCTATAGTGCTCATGGGTTTACCAGAGAGACAGGGATGGAGAGAAGAAAGTGGGAAGTTACTCCCCAGGGGGGATGGCCATGCCACAATCCCCTTTCCTCTCTCTATTCTCTCCTCTGGATTTTGGGCACGCACGCACACGCACCCAGCATGAGTTTCAAGGTGCCAGCTCTCAGACTCACACCACAGTCGGCCATGTGGGAGTCCAGCGCCTAACCACCATACCACCTGCTGACCACCCAGTGTGATTTTGAAGCTGCAGGTCCGGGACTCAAACCACAGTCGGCCACGTGGGAGTCCAGCGCCTAACCACCATGCCATCTGCTGGTCCCACCCGAGGCAACCGTTAACCTACTTTCCGTGTCTGTGGATTTGCCTGTTCTGGGCATTTCTTACAGCTGGGAGCATATACTGTGTGGTCCTCCGTGTCTGGCTCCTTTCACAGAGCCCGGTGTCTTCAGGGTCCGTCCACGTCGGAGCATGTACCAGCGCTCGGTCCCTTTCATGGTTAAGTATGTTTCACTGTGTGCGTTTGTCCCCTCCTACGTGTTGGTGGACCTGTGTCTCCTTTTCACCTTTGGCCATGGCAGATGACGCCGCCAAGGACAGCCGTGGACACGTGTCTGGGTGGACGTGTGTTGGAGCCTCTCTTGGGCATACACTGGGAGTGGGATTGCTGGGTTGGGTTGTCTGCTGTTCTAGCCCATTCTGTTGCTGGTAACAGGCCCTAACCCTCAGAAGGTCTGAGTCTGTTGTCCCTGAGCTACTGTTACCCACAGTCAATTACAATTCTTTGAGGGGCCAGCAGGTGGTGTGGTGGTTGAGGCGTTGGACCCCCACACGGCCAGCCACAGTTCAAGTCCCAGACCTGGTGGCTTGAAACTCATGTCTGGTCAACCCCACACCCCCCCAAGAGGGTGCTTTCTCACTTTCTGTCTCTCTAGCAAGCACACATGTCCTATAGCAAAAATCTCTCAAAAAAAAAAAATTTCTTAGGACCAGCAGATGGGGTAATGATTACTCGACTGCAGTTCGAGTCCCAGACCCGGTGGCTTAAACCCAGGTTGAGCACATGTGCTTGCGTGCCCAAGATCCCGAGAGGAGAACGGAGGAGAAGGGATTGCAGTGTGGCCATCCCCCCTGGGGGGCGATTTCTCGCTTTCTGTCTCTCTGTCTCTCTCTGTCTCTCTGGTGAGCGCACGTGCCCTATAGCACAAAGCTCTCTTTAAAAAAAAGAAAAATTCTTTGGAATCGGTGATTCCCAGATGCTGTAGACGGTGACTCCCGGGGACGGTCTAACGCAGAACCCACCTGCCTTGGCACAGCTGCCAGCCGGCCAGGGTGCTGGCACGGGGTACCTTTCAGGATCGGCCCCATGTTTGCACGTTTAGGTCACATTGCCAGGGTGGGGTGAGCAGAAATGGCAGGAAATGCCATCCCTGGACCTCGTGGCCTTCAGGCCACTGCTTTTGTCTGTGGACATGCGTGCTTGTGTCTGAGTGACACCGGTGTCACCGTTGCCATTTGCGGCCCCGGTGTTAGCTTCTCGAGGTCACGGACTCCATGTGACCCAGGCGGGCTGTGGGTACGCGTGCTGTCAACACCGGCCCACCCGCCTCGCCGAGGCCCGGGTCGA